ATCCCTAGCTCTTCTAGGGGCAAGGAAATACGTCATAACCTTAAATACGCAGTACTATGGATATATCTCCCCGAAACATTAAGTCATAGACACATGATCACATTTGATTTCTTTTGACGAATTAAAGCCTCTTAACCATCCCAAAATATCGCGCTTGCTACCACTCCCCGCTCCCCGAGTTGACGTCTGTGAAACCCCTGCAATATCTGCCAAACTCGGCAAACGCTCCTCAAGAAATGAAGGCTATGTCGAAAACCTGCGGTTTGGCCCGCAGAGGTGCTGGCACTGGCGGCACATGATAGATACCAGATTCACTCGACCCCTTCCCTGAGTCCGAATCTCCGAGGCGGTCCAACAGCATCCGGAATGCCTGCTTCGACTGTGAAACTCTCACATCTTCATTTGTAACCCTAACCCTAACCCTAACCCCAACGTCAGATCTCTTGCGAAGCCCTGAAAAGGGCGTACATAAGAAACCATCTCGTATGCAAGCTGCACGATTAATATCCATGTTGTTCTTCTATCCTTTCCACCCGATGAGTAGTTCCATACACCCCCAAAAGAAGACGTCAAATTATATGGAGGAGTAGGAGGACCGTTGCTCTTTTCCTCGCCATCCATTGGTAGAGGCGAGCCGGTAAGGACTGCCCAAGATGATGAATCTCCCCCTTTCAAGGATGGAAGACGCCCAGTCCTTTTTGAGGGCTCATGCGAACGTATTTGGAAATCCTTCCAGACTAGTAACCCAAAACCTATCAAGAAGGAAAGCTCTTACGTCAAGGGCTAAACAGGTACCTTAATGACTATGCCGGAGGTGGCGGAGGGGGCACTCGTTCTGTTTGTAGGATATATGAGAGCATATAAAGAACATAAGAAAATGTAGGGGTTTTACGTCTTTCTGCGCGCTTTCGGAGGCATGCTTACCCAAAATACGCATAGTTCATGCTCACAATCGACGTCGATAGGAACTCTCCACCATATGGACTGAGATCGAGGCTATCCACATGAGAGAAATCGACCAGATTCACTACCAGAACTAGACCAGGGTCAGTTTCAGTCCTGTGCATGAAAGCAGAGCGAATTTTATTAGGAAGAGAGAGAGCAAGGAATCCAGTTGGACTGGGCTTTTGCTCTATGGGTGTACTTACCCGAAGTACGCATAGTCTCGGCTCAGAACTGATGTAGATAGCTGTTCTCCACCATATTCACCGAGCTCAAGGATGTCTGCTAAACTGAAATCAGCGAGATCTACCTTGAGGACTACCGCTGGACTCTCTCGTGTCCTGTGTACAAAGGACAGTCAACCTCAGCGACATAGAAAAGATGGATTGATACGGGATTGTGGATCTCTTTTTGGCATCTGCTTACCCGAAGTACACATAGCCTGCGCTCACAAAGGACGTTGAGATTGACATTGGAACGTCGTTAAATTGGAAATTTTCGTATCGAAAATATTTCCGTTCCGATGTGAGATCGTCCAAATTCATCTTCACTACCACTCCTTGATCATCGTTAGAGCTGTGTGTAGATCATAATCTTGTGTATTACCAGCTTGGAGGGCCTGAAGTACGACGGGGCAATTCCTGCCATATAAGCCCTTGCTTACCCGAAATACGCGTAGCTCCCGCTCACAACCGACGTTCTGAGCGTTAGGCCCCAGAGTTGAACATTTTCCGAGAGAGTAAGCCCGGCCAGATTTACCTTTACCACTGTAGTCTTAGAATCATCAACCACACTGCGTGTAGAATATAGCGGAGATTTTAGGACCTTAGCAAGCATGGCTATGTATACATGCTTATGTATGCCATTATTCACATCCGCTGGGCCTTTGCTTACCCAAAATACGCATAGTCCGCATTAACAATGGCCGTGTCAACAGATCCAGAATCGAGATACAAATGGTTGACCTCACTAAAATCGGTGAGATCTACTTCTACGACATCACCATTAGCCGTCCTATGTATGGGGTATAGGCGGTCGCGTTGAGAAGTTACAGAGCATGAAGTGTGGCCCTGTGGTTTGGTTCTCAGCCATCATTTACCCAAAATAAGCATGGTCCCCGCGCACAACCGAGGACGGTACTGCCGAGCCGACATATATATTGCCTGCTTCACTGAAGTCGGAGAGATTGACCCTTACTACATCGCCAGAATCAGTCCTGTGAGTAGGATTTGGCCGAGATCATCAACAACTTAGAAGTAGTACAACAGGACGCGCGTCTATTAAGAATTTGCTTACCCAAACTACGCATAGTTGTCGCTGACAACTGATGAGAGTAGGAGAGCTTGTGAACTGAGCGCCAGAGTTGTAGTCATGGGCGCTGTTTCCGTCGGCTGCATGGTCGGTGCCTTGGTCGGAGGAGCCGTCGGAGCTGTGGTTGGTTGCAATGTCGGAGGTTCTGTTGGGGCTGCCGTGGTCTTTGTCGTTGGCGCAATGGTCGGAGCGGCCGTGGGCTGCATCGTTGGCGCCACAGTCGGAGATACTGTGGGCTGCATCGTCGGCGCCACAGTCGGAGCGGCCGTTGGCTGCATCGTCGGCGCCTTATCGGAGATGCTGTGGGCTGCATCGTCGGTGCCCCGGTCGGAGATGACGTGGGCTGCATCGTCGGCGCGACAGTCGGAAATGACGCGGGCTGCATCGTCGGCGCCACAGTCGGAGCGGCCGTTGGCTGCATTGCCGGTGCCACAGTCGGCGATGCTGTGGGCTGCATTGTCGGTGCCCCGGTCGGAGATGACGTGGGCTGCATTGTCGGCGCCTTAGTCGGAGATGCTGTGGGCTGCATCGTCGGCGCCACAGTCAGAGAGGCCGTTGGGTGTATCGTAGGCAGCATAGTCGGAAACGTCGGCTGTATGGTAGGCACTATGGTCAGAGAAGCCGTGGGCTGCATTGTTGACATCACAGGCGGAATACCAGTGGGTTGTGTACGAGGGGCTGTCACAGATGCATCAGGGGTTGGACCAGCAGTAGGAGACACAGAAGGGATGGGAGTTGTAGTAGGGGAAGCGGTCGGGCCAGGCGTGAGTGACAGTATAGAATTTGAGTTTGCCACCGTAGGTGCCAGAGTTGCGGGAACAACTGCTTCGTATGTGTCAAATGCAGGATCGAATACCAAAGGAGTGCACACACTCATACAGCAATAGCACTTGCAAGCTGCGCTGTTCCAATTGAAAAAGGTTGGCACAGCTTGCGCCCCGTTTCGTGAGCAGTACTCGAAGCAGTCTTGTAAGGTGCTCATTGATAGAGGCTCGCGATGTGTCACGTGGACGGCTGGAATGAGTCCCTGATCCTTGTTCTGGCGTAAGGGCTGGGAGAGTTGACGATCATCGAATGGCGCAAGTCGGTCATTTTGCGAGAATTTCTGCTGTCGGGCAAATAAAGTATATGGCTCCGCAAGGTTGGCAGAGGGGGCTAGTGTCGGAGCGCAAGTGGCTGATCGCTTGAGTTTTGGATGACGTACGCTTATGGAGACCGGGCGTGGTATGGGCGTCGTACAGAACATGCTTGTTGCATTTGAAAGATATGCTATCGCATCTACGGATAGAGTCTCGGGAGCACACTTATCCACCTGTACTTTCGCCATAAAGCGATGCATTCTGTGCATACTCAGATCAACGTGGAGCCAGTATATGGCTGTAGTTCCATCGAGATTCTGGACGATCTCGGGCGCTGCGTATCGTTCCAAGCGCGGACGAGTCGCTGTCCGTTCCACGGCTATACCCCTAGGCAGCAGCAACTTGAATGCCATACCAACCGTAGGGTCCTTGCTGCGAAGTGTGACGGAGATCTTTACATTTCGTGAGCCAGCCAAGATCCTGCGTCGGACATGGGGACGAATCTTGGCTTTCATCGTAAGATGAGGACATTCTTGAGAAGTTGTGCTCACGATGGTACCAATTCCCAGTAGAAAGAGGTAGAAATATCTCAATCGAAGATACATGCTTAGATACCTGTGCGTTATGGGGGGAAATTAGGACTTGAGGATGACAAATAATGTGGCCAGGTGAGAGAAAATGGATTTTACTGGAGCAAATCAGCATTGCATTGGATTCAACTCTTCAAGATGTCAAGACCACTTGATATACACTTTACATGACATATGCATTGATGACGTGTGATATGGTGGCAAATGCCCTCTTAATGCACAAGATAATGCGTGATCTTTTCTTAAATGTATCTAACACGCAGTATTACGCGATAGTCCTGTATGTGGTGTTGAAAAAAACAAAGAGCAAACCTAACTTGGTGTC